AAAGAAGAGAGGTGTAAGAAAGAGAGGATCTATTAGTTCAGTTACCGGCAAGATAGTATTAAGAATTGTAACCAATATCTATATTATAATTTTCCGATGTCCTCACTACGTCATCGTGACGTCATGTCATCGCTACGTCATATCATCGTTACGTCATGTCATCGCTACGTCATGTCATCGGTACGTATTTATTTTTATTTTTTTTATTTGTTGTTTTTATCAAAACTTTTTATATTACTTAATCCTTTCTTTATTTTTTAGATTACCTTATCAATATTCATGTCATATTATCAATTACACATTAATGAAATCTTTATTTGTAAGTATGAATAAAACTATTTATATCACTTAATCCTTTATATTCATGTCATATTATCAATTACACATTAATGAAATCTTTTTTATAGAATATAATTTACAGATGAATAGAATTGATGGTGTACACATACCTAATCTTTGAATTGCTAAAACCTCAAATTTTATGAATAAAACTTTTTATATCACTTAATCCTTTCATTATTTTTTAGATTACCTTATCAATATTCATGTCATATGATCAATTACACATTAATCAAATCTTTTTTATAGAATATAATTTACGAATAATGCAAAGATCATATGAAAACTTTTTAAGAAGATAACCAAGCATATTCTTTCTCAAAATTAAACCTTTTAATGTTAAATGTTAGTCTTATGTTATTATTTTTATAAAGTAATATATTTTACCCATAGACTAATTGGTAAATCAGAGATTTCCTCTTCATTAATTATAAAAATGTAAAGATCATATGAAAACTTTTTATTCACTCAATTCTTATTTTGTTTTTTATCTAATGTTTTATATCTATGTTTATTTTATACACCCAGTTGCCTCCAAATGATATTTCTATCACCACTACCACAACCCCTATGCCACCTCTGCCTATTTTTTAACAAATATAAGCATTTAATTCCACTATCATTCACCTCACTAGGAGTTAATATAAATAATACTTTATCCGATTCCCTGGTGAACTTTCATGAATATTTAGAGGGATGTTCAAACGAGAAGGTGTAGTGCGGTCAATTTCATTAGCATTTAATGGGAAAATATGCTGTAGTTTTGTCATGGCCTTTATCACAATACCTACGACCGTTTTATGGTTGAGTTGACAATGTCGTTCATGATTCTATTTTAGAGGGGGATACCAAGACTGACACTTTGGCAGAAATATTATTTTGCGTTCTTCTTTTACCAGTAGCCCAGGGCCTCAGCTTTATCAGGACGCAGTGGGTGTTGTACACTGCTTTGGTAATCCGTCATTATTCATTACTTTCACATACAACCTTAAATGGGATGATATTATACATTAATTATTTCTTCTGCAGACGACTGCCCAGATTTATCGCTTTTTCCATCAAAAATTAAAATGTCATAAAGGATTTGCTCTTAATTTTACCAGACGCACAAAATAATAATTAATCCTCATCATTTTTTAAAAAAATTACCTAAATTTATATGGCAAGAAAAACACATTTCTTAAAAAATATATAAATAAATTGCATATAAGTTTCATTAGTATTGAATGGCATTTTTTTTTGTACTTAATATAAAGATATAGATAGCCCTTATCAAATTTTTTGATAAAAGGAGTTAACCAACTAATTGGTAAATCCGAGATATCCCCTCATGTGATGATAAATTATTTAGAAATTTAACTATCTCCGGGTTTGGGAAAAAGTTTTGAAAATTAATATAGGTTGGACTGGGCTTGGGAAATATTCCTCAAGATTAATATTTGCTTGCACCTGACTTGGGAATATCTTTTACCAATTATTATGGGTCGGGCTAGGAAAAAATTTTCAAAATTATTATGGGTTGAGCTAGGCTTGAGAAATTTTTTTTTTAAATTATAAGGTCTTGGACGCTTAGAAATTTTTTCAAAATATTATGAGCTTGGACCTGGCTTGAAATTTTTTAATGTTAAATGTTAGTCTTATGTAATCAGTAATATATTTACAAAGAATTTTGGTATTGGGTACAAGCTCATTTATATATATTTTGACTCAAATAATAGCTTCCACTCTTTGTCCTAATGGGTTGGACTCAATGACATTGCTTGGTCTTGACCTAAATGGGGAGGGGGGGGTTAAAAATAATATAAATGGATATGATTTTTAAATAAAAGGTAACATCTTTCTTAAAAAAACGAATAAAATTCTCATTCTCCGTCATTTTTGACGGGCTATCTACTAGTTAATAATAATGTACCTGATGCCTGGTTAGATATTTAAGAGATGGAAAAGTAATTCTTATGTTAGGTAAGTATATCCTTGGAAGATAATGTTATGTCTGTATAGCGTGTTCTATTCCGGAGGCATATCTCAATATCTGAAATCCATTATCCTAAGAGCTTACTATCTTTGTCTGATTTTTTCTTACTTTTATCTTCAATTATCTTTGTCATTCTAAAGTCAATAAAGTGCCCATAAGTCCTTGTTTGTATTAAGCAAGCCATGCTCGGGATCCTCATTATTTACCACATCATCATTATTATAGTGAACCCGGAATCGTCTCGACTTAGTATCTAGTATTGTGACGACTAACGACATTATCCTGGTTCCTAGGTACTTAAAATCTGAAAGGTAAGAAATGCTTTTTCCTGATATCTAGTGCTATTCATATTTTATTTGGCTAAAATCACCTATAACAGTCTCTTATTCACCTTATTTAGACCAGTTATGTATCATTCACTTATACCACATAATTACCAAAAACATTTCAAGAAATAAGGGCATTGGTGTACGCAGCGTGAGGGGGGGGCAGGGGGACAAATCCCCCCAAAGCCAAAAAATGTAGATGATGGTTCAAAAATATTATTGTTCATATTAATTTATATTTGTTAATATTTATTCGTCATATTAAATATATATTTAATTACATTTTTTATCGCATTTATCTACTAAGTTATTTTATCAATTAAATTCGATTTTAGGTTTTCAGGCGTATAATTTACTTATTATTTTCAAATTTTTAGTGGCGTAATATTTATCTACCATTTTCAAATTTCTAGTCAAATAATAATTATTTCTGAAACTTCTTGTCCAAAAGGGAAAAAGAAATTGCAAGTCCAACGAGATAGAGTCTCTGACATCAAGCAGTAACAGCTTAAGGAGTTAGAAGAGCCAATTATTTGCTATTACTGAAATATCACAATGGCCTGAAAGAAATATTTCCTAAGAAGCAAGAAAATTATTGGATACAATGCTTATTCCAAATTTTATTTCTCATTAGAATGTATTATTTGATTATACAATTATTTTAAGTATTACTTTTCAAAAACATGACATTGACTTAATTAAGAAAATGAGAATAGCGGAGAGCATTTTATCAGAACTCAAGGAAATTAGGGCTAATGTTGATGAAGATTCATATTTTATATTTTATATTTTATTGTTGAGTCAAAAGCAGAGCTATACGTGTTTAATATTTGTTTCCCTCGACTTGTATCAAGGCAAGTTCATCGTTAAAACATTATTATAGGATCAGTAGAAGAGTATATCTTAAATCAGATACATTTCTAACCCAAATAAATGAATTTTTAATTCATTATGCAGCACTTACTAATCTGCAAATAACTTCCACAAAAGCCTTCCCAACCTTATTCAGATGGTGATAGAAAAAAAATATTTGTTAGATTTTTATTATGTATATGTTAAAGTATCTTATGATGCCTTACTAGCTGAATAACTATGTTTATAAGATTAACTATGGTTAATATAGTCTCAAAAAATGTTGTGGATGCTCTGCATTATTTCAAACACATTTTAGATTAAATTCCCAATGTATTAAAAGGGTTTATAAACTCTTGCCATTAGTAAACTAATGAGAGAACATTCTCTTTTTTAAGAAGAATAACAGAGGCCTGGAGAAGTACCATTTGCAGGGTATGGCCCGGATATTTTATAAATATTTTTTACGGCTTGGCCTAGGTTTTTTTAAAAAAATTTCAGGCCTCGCCCGGATTTTTAAAAAAAAAATATTTAGGCCCGACTCGGCTTTTTTTAATAAAATTTTAGGCCCGGCCCGGATTTTTTTAAAATAAATTATATTTATTTTTGATTTTTATAGCTAACAATAACGATTTCAAATATAAGCTGTTTTAAAAAATACAGCCCGGATTTGGTTTTTTTTAAAAATAATTCAAACCCGGCTTGGGTGTTTTTTTAAAAAAATTTCGGGCCCGGCCCGCGAATATTTAAAAAAATTAAAATAATGTCCGGCCTGAGGGCCGGGCCTGCAGATCTCTGAAAAATATACCAAGAAGTACAACATCTGAAAGTAGATTGAAAGATTTGGATCTTTTGAATATTCATAGGCATTTGACGACAAGCAAGGATGAGATAATTTAAAAATTAGCTCAATCACAACGAAGATTGGATTTTACATTGTAAATTTATAACATACAAAATGCAATTATTCCTAAGAAACTTTTTGTGTAAAGGCTCAAAAAATTCAAATTTTTATTTTGGGTCATTTAAATGATTCTTTAAAATAATTTTTTTATAATTCACATTAATTTAAATTGTGTACTAGAAATAGTTATTAGTTCTATAAATTTATGCTTGATATTTTTAAAAAACAATAATATTTCTTAAAAAAATTTTATTATCCCCCCCCCCCAGACCAAATTCCTGCGTACGCGTCTGAATAAGGGTGACAAGATTATATCTACATAAATATACAAGATAAGTGTTATTGATTCTATTTGAGGATATGCCTGAAAAATATAATAAATAATATATTTAAATATTCCCAATTACTAGTCTATGTTTAATTAAATGTAACCATTTCAACTTCAAAGGGATTCTAAGTGTACAGTTATAATTATAAGTGCGGAATAGAGTAAATAATGTATCTAATTGTATTATCCCTCTAATTTCAAGTATGGGATAACATATTTAATAATTCTAATTGTATGATTAAATATCTGTTTTTTTCCAAAAATAAAACGATTGGCATTTTAACAACAATCGACGGTTTGAAGTTTAATATTTTTTAATGGCTCCTACCATCCAATCATCTGCCACAGATCTCAATGATAGGAAACGAGATATTAGATCCTTGAATGAAAAAAAGTAAATAAATATGACACGGATTCATAATTTTTGGGGAATAGATCGGATTTATTGATAAATATCAGGTATACAAACACACTACCTGACGTTCCCTTTGAACCAAAACTTCTGAAATATCCATTTGACTCAAAAAGGTTGAATTATATATATACACGGCAATTATTTTATATTAGTATGTAATTTATATTAGACTAATATAAATAATTAAAATACTTTTTGATTTTTGTTACTGTTATTTATTTTATAATATTTAGGTATATAAACTATACTCCAACTGCTTTGGAAAAAAATTATAAATTTGACATAATCACAGACCATGATTTGGGTGTTCATATTGATTTGATAGATCCTGATACCTACAAAATAGATGAAAATGGTATGTATTGTTTATGAAATATTTTAATATTATTTGATAGTTTACTATTATAGGATTATTAGCTTATTTTAACTTCTCTTATTTACTTAAAAATTATATATTATTCTTTTTATTGCCTTGTATATATACTATTACCCCAAAAGTTCACTCATCCTTGCTTTTTTTTAAAGCTTACTACAATAATTATTACACTCAAAATTAATTATTAGTTTAAAAAAAAATTAAAATCTTTTTAATGATTTTGCATATAATATGTATGTACCCACTATGATATGAAAACCCAGCTCAGATTTTTTTATAATGGCCTTACATAAGTTTTAAAAACTTATTATTATTAACTTTTGTAAATTGTGTCAAAGGGAAATTGAAAACGTGAGCAGTAAAGATTTACCAATTAGTAATTGAGTTTATACTGAGCGTAATAATTTTTTTGTTGATGAGTGATGTAGCCCTAATGCAGTGTGAGCATGTTATTACTTTAAAAAAAATAACAGGGGGGCTTGATTAAATTAGACAACAAATAGAAAAGAATTTATGTTTTATTCATGAATATGAGACATTTTTTAAAATTTATTTTATAATAGTTTATATCGAAAGTATTTCATATAAAATACATTATCTATATTATATAAAATAGCTCTTTAGAAGTTTATATTAAAAATAGAAATTTATTTTAAATTATATATAAACCTCCTTTTTTTTTATAATGCATTCATTTTTTTATAAAAATGAAATATTTTATTATGATATTATTTATCACAGTAAATTAAAAAAAATTTTTTTATTTAATAATATTAACCACACATTTCTTTGATTGATTGCTGACCTGTGATTTGTCAGCCACTGATAAATATAATATAAATTCACAATTGAATAGCATTCAACTCATCAAAAAGATCCCTAATTATTGTACTTTTTATAAATAATAACTATTGGTGAAAAATATAAAATGCAATAGCATTTAACAAAAAGATGCTATATGATAATACTTTCAAATAAATTTGAATAAATATGATGGAATTAAAATATTAGAATAAAAAAAATATATTAATCACATTGACATAATTCTAACAAAATTAATTTTGATTTACAAAATATATATTTTAAAATTTTAATATTTTTAAAAAATTTCACGGGTGAATAATAAGCCCATTTGTATTTGGTATTTAATATATTTCTCTGCAACTATGTTGTCATTGATAATATTTTCACCATTGTTGCCGAGACACCATAACATTTCTGTTAACTAGGTATTCCTCTACAGGATATCTTATAAATTTACCCCAATTTGAAATTTTTGCATCTCACAAACAACACATTCTCTCTGCAGATAATTATATTCTGCAGATAATTATAATTATCCTGGCCATTTGATACCTCTTTACTCATACAACTTATAAACGTGTTAAACAATTAAATATTATATAAAGATACTAACCTATAAAAAAACTCCCCAACATCACCCACAATATGAGATTGGTTGTAAAAATTTATTTCAATACACCACTTTTTATCTTGGAATAACAGTCAATTAGTTTGAAATTGAACTGTTTAGAAGTGTTATATCTTCCAGTTCCTATTTGTGGGCAGGAAAAGTTCACCAATTATCTTTGATATTATTGCATCCGTAATAATTTCCTCATCTCAATTTGATAATTAACCCTGATCCTGTAGGCCTACATATCATTCCTCTCTCAATATACTTTTAATAGCTATTGTTGGATCTTAACCAAATGTATCTGTCCAAAATATAAATATTAAATAATTTTATATATTATACCCCTTCCCCTTGACATGGTTTATTTTAGCATCCTCCTTTCTAATTTCCAATCCCAGGATTTTAGCTTGATCAAAAATAATTAACTTTCTCCTCTGACTTTTATTCCACAGGTCATTTCTTCAAAGAGTGCTTCTTTTTAATGGAAATATAATAATTAAAAATATATTTTCCCTTTCTGCTAACTGCATTTGAATTCCTTCTCCAACTGTAGTTTTAAGAAGCCTACAAACTTAATTTGTTTAATATTATTTTATGAATTAGTAACTGTATATACTACCTTTCTTAAATCATCCATAGTTTCACAATGTACAATTTTTTTTTTTACTGTATCTTTACCATTAAAAAAAGTTATATTGGTATAATTATAAATTAATGCTTTTGTTTCCCCTCTATATAGTGCTTTAAATTACTTATATTAGCCTTAATATGTAAAAATTTTTCCTGTTGAAGACGATAATTCTACATTGCCTAAATATGTATAAATATTTTGTCAAAAAATTATAATTTTAACTATTAACAATTTTATATGGACCTACTCAAGGCTGCAACATTTTCCCTCCTTTCCTGTCAGCCCGTCGATTATTCCACACAAGCACTTTATCATTTATATGATAAAGTGCATTCTTAGCAGCATTATGAGTTTTATAATCTCGTTGCTGCTTAAGCTGAGCCTTTACAATATTTTTTGCTGCAGTCTTGAATATGCCTTTCATATTGTCTGCCCTTCTTTGGAAATTGCATTCATAATCTGTATCAGAAAGATCATCAAGATCTGTATCTGGTTCTCTATCATCCTTAAATATAATTTTACACAAATAGTGATATATATCATACCTCACAGGGCAGTAAATCTTTCCTGCCATACATCATCTCATATGGCGTAAATTTTGAGGATTCATGCCTTGATGTATTGTAGGCAAATACAATACCAGGGAGAACTCCAGGCCAATCTTTCTGATTGCCTTTTTGTACAACTTCAAAAGTTAATTTTGAAGAGTACGATTGGCTCTCTCTACCATGCCATTAGCCTGAGGATGGTAGGCACTTGTCACTCTCTGCTGGGTTCCCACGAGTTTGTGATATTCATTGCTCACTTGGTTTACTAACTCGAATCCCTGATTAATTTGGATCTATAAATATGAAAAATATCATTATGTTATTGGAAATATTTCATCAACCTTGACTCTGCCATGCCTGCATAACAGTGAATATAAAAAGAGGGTCACTGAATGGACTGTCTTATCCTTTAAAGGCTGTTGCTTCGATATATTTTGGAAAAAATAATCAACAGCAACTGCAATATATTTGTATCCATCAATGCTCTCTGGCAATGAACACAGATCTACCCCCATTTGTATCCATATTCTAGACGGAATAGGAATAGACTGCATTTCCAAACTTATTTTGTCAAATCGAGAATTGGATTTTGACATAGATCACCTGATTTGACAAAGTCAATGACATCTTCTCGCATTCATTGCCACCACCACTAAAATGATAAATTATTATACACTATCACTATATATGATTGAAATGCTATCTTGTTTTCTATTCATTGCCAGAGAGCATTGATGGATACAAATATATTGCAGTTGCTGTTGATTATTTTTTCCAAAATATATCGAAGCAACAGCCTTTAAAGGATAAGACAGTCCATTCAGTGACCCTCTTTTTATATTCACTGTTATGCAGGCATGGCAGAGTCAAGGTTGATGAAATATTTACAATAACATAATGATATTTTTCATATTTATAGATCCAAATTAATCCAGGGATTCGAGTTAGTAAACCAAGTGAGCAATGAATATCACAAACTCGTGGGAACCCAGCAGAGAGTGACAAGTGCCTACCATCCTCAGGCTAATGGCATGGTAGAGAGAGCCAATCGTACTCTTCAAAATTCACTTTTGAAGTGTACAAAAAGGCAATCAGAAATATTGGCCTGGAGTTCTCCCTGGTATTGTACCTGCCTACAATACATCAAGGCATGAATCTTAAAAATTCACACCATATGAGATGGTGTATGTCAGGAAGACTTAACTGCCCTGTGAGGTATGATATATATCGCTATTTGTATAAAATTAATATATATAATAAATAATTACTTTTAATTATTTAAGGATGATAGAGAACCGGATACAGATCTTGATGATCTTTCTGACATAGACTTTGAAAGACAATTACCAAAGAAGGGCAGACAATATGAAAGACATATTCAAGACTGCAACAAAAAATATTGTAAAGGTTCAGCTTAAGCAGCAACGAGATTATACAACTCATAATGCTGCTAAGAATGCACTTTATCATATAAATGATAAAGTGCTTGTGTGGAATAATCGTCCAGCTGACAGGAAAGGAGAGAAAATGTGGCCATGGGTAGGCCCATAAACAATTGCTAAAATTGTTAATAGTTAAAATTAATAATTTTTTAACAAAATATTTTTATACATATTTAGGCAATGTAGAATTACCGTAAGCAGGATAAATTTTACATATCGAGGCTAATCTAAGTAATTTAAAAAGATTATTATAGAGGGGGGAAACAAAGGTATTATTTTTTAATGGTAAAGATACCGTCAAAAAAAACGACAAAAAAATTGTACATTGTAAAACTATAGATGGTATTCTTCAAGATATTGGACAGTTAATTTATAAAATAATGATAAACAAATAAGTTAAGTTTGTAGACTTCTTATAACTAATAGTTTGGAGAAGGAATTAGGCAATTCAAATGCAGTTGGCAAATAGGGGAATATATACTTTTAATGATTACATTTCCGTTTAGAGGAAGCAATATTTGAAGAAATGACCTGTGGGAATACAAGTCGGAGGAGAAAGTTTCATTTTTTGAAAATCGGAAAAAAATATTGAGAAGGAGGAACTTAAAATAAAAGTTATCTGCATCGGGCCTAATTTTTCAAGCCCGGCCCGAAATTTTTTTTATAAAGTTTTGCCTGGCCTGGCTTATTTAAATATAGAAATTAATTTTTATAATAAACTCAAAATAAACGATATATGTTATTTGGCGTCTACTTTCTATAAATAAAATCACATATTTTTTTATTTTACATAAAAAATTCTACATAAAATTGATAAATTTAGATATTATTTTAAAAAATTTCTAAGACCCGTCCCGGCCCTAATTTTCTTAAAAAATATTAGTTCGGGCCAGGCCTTCTTTTGCAGATCTCTTACACACAACAGCTTATATAAAAAAGTAAAATAATTATATTTAATGATTACATTAATAATTTTTATAGCTCATGGGAATTATCAGAGTTGTTAAAAGATACTTTTAAAATGGATCTAGATACAGATACATCGTCTAAAATAATATCTAGATACAGATATTTTAATCAAAAATCTATCTAGATACAGATACCACATTTTTATATCTAGATACAGGATCGAGATACTTTAACATCTCTGGAAATTATGATATCGCAAAAAAAGATTTGCTAATTAAATATATAGGGGCAAGCCCCTTTTTTGTTTTGTTTAGAATTTCGACGTTTCATATTGAAAAAAAAACGCTTTCAATTTACACGTAGCTCCGTTTGCGTTTTTTTAATATTTATTTGCGTTTTGAAACGCTGCGTTGAAACGTTCAATTTTTTGTGCGCACTATTATACGCTTATATTTTAGTTGTTTAGGTAGGCCAACTGCTCAAATCAATTTATTTTTTTTTGTGTGTGCTTGTAAAAAAAATCATTTATATAAATATTTCGTGATTTTTATGCGTTTAATAAAAAATCTTTTCATGATTTAAATCACAATTTTTATTTTTTAAAATCTTTCACCTTTTTTGTTGATTTTCAAAAGGTTTTTTATTCCATTTTTTTACGTAAATGAACTCTGATTTCGTAAATTTGAATAATAAAATTAATTTTTGTTGAAAATAAAATTTTGACCTTCAGCCGTACTCCAAAAAGCTTAAATGACACACTTCAATAAAACTTTTTTTTCCCTCCTCCCGCGAATAAATAGCCCAGCTTGACATTCGGGACGAGTCCCTCTTGCTCGAGGACGACCTCAACGCTTCCAACGCGCTTTCCAGCATTTCCAATCCCTCCAATTCGCACAATGCCACCAGCACCGGAAATAACGCCGACTTGGCCAGGGCGGCGAGGCACGCCAAGGCGGTACCGTGGCTCAGGAGAACCGAATACATTTCCACGGAATACAACCGATTCACCCCCAGCTCCGACAAGGCCGAGAGCAAGTAATTTAATAAACTTTATTTCCAACCCGTTATTTGACAATTCCTCATTTCTTCAAAGAATTGTCTAAAAAGGTTGCGTACACGCCACCTACTTCCTCTTCCTCATCATGTATCATTTTTTGGTTGGTTTTTAACTTTGTTTCGAAGGCACATTAAAGGGGGAGGGAACGCGAAAGTAGTTGAAATTGATTTACAGCTGACTGGACGTATATTTAAATTGTAATACTAAACTAAATTACTACGACACGTACATACGTTTTATAAATTTCTTATCCGCCATTTTCACCCTGGGTAAACAAATAGGATCGGTTACCGTATCAATAAACTCATGAAAGACGACGACGAAGACCTGTACAAGGACAGGGATTCTCAAATCAAGGCCATCGACGCCACCTTTCAATCCGTCAAAAAGAAGGTTCAACATTATCTCTACCAATTACAGGGACCTGAACCATTATAACGGTTTATAATGTTTTAACGGTTCACTCTGGGCCCCTAACATATTTTTTGTATGATTGTTTATCTTTACATGCCAATTGGTGGGTTAATTAAGGGAAAAACCTTCTATATGCTAATATTACTTCTTAAGGCAACAAAACATTATAGCAAACCCAATGTTCACGCTATAGAAGAACTCGCCTTATTTCCCGATTTTTCTTTGTGGAAGCATCCTTGCGCCCAGGTCTTGTTCGATTCCGATCCGTACACGTCATCGATTAACCAAATCGGTTCCGCCATAACTCGTGGCGCGAATATCAACGTCCCGCCGTCACACACTCACAAGGAGAAAATCATGTCTCAAGCCATGATAAGGTTTTGTTAGCGCGAATTACACTATTTTTCTTCTTCCTTATAATTAAACGTATAAATGTTCTATCTCATATCACAAAGATCCACGAGGAAGCAAATATATTATCAAAACCTATATTATCTTATAACCCATTAAATTATCACGTGATTTTTTCTTTTTCTATCAAAGTAGAAAATCACATGATTTTTTTACAGATGATTAATGAAACGAGATTTAAAAGTTTAAAATTTATTCGAATAAATTAAATATTCGGATGGTTCCAATTAGCCCTAAAACATACACTCGAAAAGTAGGAATAAAAAGAATTCTTGGGTGATTTAGCATTCCTTTAACAAGCTTTCCTTTTTTTTTAATTTCCAATAGTTTTTATTTATATTCATAGTTAAAAATTATAATTTCTAAATTTATAATTATATAATTAAAAATAAAATTCAATAATTGAGTCCCCAAAATGGAACCATAATTGTGTCTAAAAATTTCAATTTGATATTTTAACGAATATAAAGAAATTCTCTGAGTTCATTTGTAATAAGCCGTATTTTATTTCCCAGATTTTTTTAAAAAACTTAAATGTTGATGGCGAAAAATTCCCCTTCGTGCCGGCCTTCTTAATTTCTGTCTATATTATTAGATTGATAATTATGTTTGAGGTGAATGACTATAAGTGATTTACTGAGGGCCCAAGGTAGGGTTGTCACTATCAGGTCTTAAGCCATCTACTTGAGATATGTTTTTGATTCAAAATTGTTCATAATGTGAGCAGCTGGTAGGCTTTTATTTATTACATGGTTTACTGCTGTGTAGCGTTGGTGTCGCCCTTGACTAAATTTACAAGTAAGGGTGATTTGCATTTGATGCAAGCACGAGGCTGTACAATGTCACAACCCAAACGTAAACCAATGATTACTCTCAATTGTTCATCTGATAAGAGATTACCAAGGTTACGACTAGGGAGTGATTCTAACCATTCATGACCACCAAGTCTATCAGATAATTGAAGGAGTTGAATGCAATCTAAAGGTGGATTGATTGATATATCTGTTTGGTATTTCGAGATTAGGTGTGAAAATTTTTTTGTGTGTGATGATTGATAGTAAGTCAGTGTTAATGGGTATATTTGCCTTCCAATTGGCAATTGCGTCATCTAATAAACGATCGGTAGGGCATATGAAGCCAGAAATCATTGTTTGATAATCTAGATGATGTGAATGATGATAAGGATAAAAGATTGAGTGGCAAAAAATCGAAACCGCCAATTTTAGAAGGTAGCTGAGCAAGTCACCAATTGGATGAGCTTAAATTTATGTTTTAAAATTTTTTCTAGAAATAATTTAAATTTATCCTGAATTATAGATATGAATTCGTTGTTTTTGAAAAAAGATGATGATCGGAAAATGTGCAAAAATTTAGGTATATAAAGGCTTTTGCTTATTAAAAATAAAGATTGGTGTGCTGGTAGGAGACATAGGATGTGCTCCATGCTGTAAAAGCTTTTAAAAATCTTATGGAGGAAATCTTCTGACTTGGTCGCATTAGATAATGGGGACCCAAGTAGGGTTGAACTATCGGGAGCAATGATTTTGTAGCCTTCCGACCTTCGTGGCTTTTTGTTTAAAAGACATAATTTTGTTTTATTTGTGTTGTTGAGTACCAGGCTGATAGCTTGGGAATTGATTTCCGGGTGTTTTAAGGCGCTAAGTACATTAGCTGAGGGGCCACAGATGGTCCCATCATCTAAATACCAGAGATTAAGATCTAGGTCCAAATTTTTTTTGATTTGGTAGATGAGATGATGAATTCCCAAATAAAAAAGAAGAGGTCCTAATGGATCCCCTTGTTGGATGCCTTCTTGGGATAAAATCTGGAAAGATCCTTATGTCAGGGGCGTCTGAAAGCCATATGAGGATTCAATGAATTTAGAGTAACAGGAAAAAAGTTTCATGGAAGAATTTTAAAAAAGAGGTACGATGTAGGCTTATCGAAGCCATTTTTACAAAATAATTGCTCCCGATAGTTTAACCCTACTTGGGTCTTCATTGGCTAATGCTACCAAGTCAAAAGATTTCCTTCATAACATTTTTTAAAAACTTTTACAGCTTGGACCACATTCTATGCCACCTACCGGCACACCAAAGTTTATTTTTAATACGCAAATGCCTATATATATATACCTAAATCTTTAACAAACTTATAATTTAAAATTTCTTAGATTTCAAGTAATTTTTTTTTTTGATTTCTGATTTATAGAAAGAGTTTGAGCGTTTCCATCATTAAATTATAAACGAAATACAAATAAGATAAATGTTAACTTTATGATAGTGCTGTAAACATTTCTAAAAAAAATCGAACGCGTTCAACATTCGCCTTCCAAAAAAATGCAACGCGTTTCACGTATGTTTCTTCTATGAATTAATATATTAATTTATTATAAATAAAAACTTTTTATATATTTTTCTTTAAACAATATATTAGCCATATTTTAAAATTAATAGTTTTATTTTTGATACTTATAAAATACAATAAAATAAATTTATTCCTATTAGTTTTTAATATATATAAACTTGTATATTTATCATATAAAATTTAATTATTTTGTAAAAATATTATAAATTTATACTTTGAATTGTTTGTTCAACAGATAAAAAAAAATCCTCCATAAAAATATATAAAAATAATAGTGATTTTAGATTATAATATAATTTTAAAGAATCACACTAAAAAATATATTATCTCTAAAAGTCTATTTTATAATCTATATTATAACATTTAATGATTACTTTATATATCTGAGAGATCCTGCAGAAGTGCCATTTGCCCAGCCAAGCTCGGGTTTTATACTTTCAGGCCCGGTTCGGGTATATTTTTAGGTCCGGTCCTGGTCTTATATTTTCGGGCCCCACCCGGAGTTTTTTTAAAATAAATTTTTCGGCTTGCTAAGATTTAAAAAAAAATATATTACATTTATTTTTTAATATTTATAGCTAATAAGTGAGTGGCAATTATAAATACAGAACCTGGCCCTGCTTTAAAAAAATAAAATAAAAAGAATGTTAAAATACGACCCAACCCATGGTTAGGGCCAGGCTGGCAGGCGGGTCTCTGATATATCTTTACGATGATAATTTAATGAGCTCTATGAAATGCGACAATCTAAATTAATTGTTAACGGGCTACTTATAGTTATATTATATATAAAATAATAAATATTACAAATCAAGTGTGAAACTGACTGATATTACACTTTTTGGACACATTTTACATTTGGTAAGGATAAAATTGGTTTGTTGAATATAGGATGCTGCTGCAAAGTATTCATTATATTTGGGCCATGGTAAAATTCAGAATCAGATGATTATGATGATGTAATGACATCCATGCTTATGCTAATCGATAAATATGAATAATCATAATCATATTTGAATTAATAAACTATACTATAAGACATAAATAGTAGCCGGCTAAAAAAAATAATTAAAATGTGATAAAGGAAAAACAGCTGATTACAAAACAACCCTTTTTTTATTAAAATAAAATTTGAATTAATATTATAAATTAATATTTCTTATTTTCAAATGAATACAATAAGTATAACAACTAAAAATACCACAAATGATTCCATTTTGTTGCTTCCAACTTAAGAGTTATTTTAAAATAAGATTATTTTCCCCACCTCAATTCTTACTCAATCATTCCATGACACATGTAAACCATGAGAAACAATATCGGGATAAAAAGGATTAGGGTTTGTTTTAACACCTCGAGGAACTCAAATCATTTAATCTGATATTTTGTAAATTTAAAAATAATTAAAATCAGGGGTATGATGGACGAAAGTGGTAATCAATTTGTCGCCTATTTCTTGCCGACCGACAAAACGTTGCAAAAGTTTGACAATGATCTCGAAGAAAATGTCGATTTTACTCCTGAAGAAGTGTTAGTAACTATTTATATAAAAACCCATCATGGCCCATAGAATCGGGGTTTACACTCTACGCCCTAAAATAAATTAATGATTTAAGACTAAATTCTTGATGGACACTAGGATGTCACGACATTTGACAACTCTTCATTTAACTTAACCTTTATGATTTTAAAAAGTGCTAATCAAAAAAAAGTAGCATTGATAATTATATATTATTTTGGGGATTCATTATGCTAACAACAATGACATATATAATACCTAGACTAACGATTCATTCATTAAAGTGCATTTTAAGCGTCGTTAAAAGCAAATCAGCTGGACCCGCCATTTTGGTAACATATATGGTAATTATTCTCATGTTAAAAACTACTATTAAATTGATAACTTGTTGCTTCCTTATTATCTTGATGATCCGGTAATTCTTTAATAAAGTTTGCATCAGATATATGAATAAATTAGGCCTCCCGTTTAAAATTTTAATAATGATTAGTGTAACCAAGATGACGTCTCCATCTGATTTGCAGATGTACACTAAATGAATGAATCGTCAGTCTAGGTATTATGTATGTCATTGGCCAACAAGAAAAATATTGCTTTCTTATTAGTACGACCCAAACTGTGATATACATTTTTAAAGAAAATTAATATATTTCATATTTCAACGTTTTTTAAAGCTATTATTACCAAATGGCCCGAGAATACAATTGGAATGTCAAGAACAAATCGTCTAAGGGTTACGAGGAAAATTACTTTTTAGTGTTTCGACCCACCGAGCCGAATAGCTTTGACGAACATGGCGATAGTATGGAACGTAAAACCGTCGCTTATTATAACGAATTAGAAACTAGGTATCAACACACACATATATATATATTCGAATCAATCAATCAAAGCACTCATCTAATTTATCTAACAAAATGAATTTAACTATATTTGTATGATCGATACCTTTTTTGAATATGGCTGACCCATAACCATAATTCATCCTCCATAAAAATAAATTTGATATTTATTAATTCTTTATTTTTAACAAGGGTGAGATTAAGTAAAAGAAGGCTGGTACAAGGTCAACAAAGTCAAGTTAACAGAACCAAACTAGCCGTTAGGTATAGGCCCTTTAACGAAACAGAAATCGCGTCCCAGGTAATTAATTATTATTTATTTTTGGCGCTTTTATTTTTATTTATCCCAATTCGCCTAATTATTTGTCCCCTTTTTTCGTTCTTATCGCCATGAGCTTTTCCCAGTTATTAGATTATGAAGTAAATTGAAATTAAATGCCATTTAGATTTGTAAAAACTAAACAGGCTAACCTAAAATCTGGCTAAAACAATTATACAAATCAAACTCGTTTACCAAAGGATTTAAACATTTTTGTTATGTCATTAGGCACGGTGCTCTCCTCTGTAACAACCTCATCCTTCCATCTGTTGTGATTTAATTTTCACATGGATGCTATCTTATATATTTAATCCCCTTTTAATTGAATTTTCTTTGCTTTATAGAGGGAAAATGGGGTAAAAAAAATCAGATTTTCATCCACGTCGATTTTAAAATTCTTCCACGCAAATCAAATCCAACTTGTTTTCGATATATTCTTAATTTCTTCTGACGACAAACATCCTCAGTTGTCGGGAACTTTAGTATTAAAAAATGGTTGAAATTTGATGGAGCATTATTTTTTAAAAAAAATATTTACTTGAATGATTTTAAATAACAAATTGAAATTTTTTTATAATCATCCTGCCTATTCCTTAAAAAAATGAGGGTATAGGCGGGCGGGCAACATCTAATATTTGGCATCATAAGGATTCGACAGTTGGATGACTGTATGACAGTTAAAAACAATATTTGGAGTTATTACCAGGGTTGCCAGATCTCCCGCTTTTGTGGGTAATTTCCCGTTTTTACTTTTTACGCCAAAACAGGTCATCCGTTTATTTACGCTTTTATCCCGATTTTCCTAAATTTTATTAATTTTTTTTAAAAATATAAAATAACTTATCCTGAAACTTACGCTACCATTTAATTTTAATTCAATTATACATTTAAAAAGCATTTTCCCTTTTTTCAGACTTTTCAAGAAATAGATAAGATTTGAAAAATTATATTTATCATTGCGATTCATACAATTATAAAAATTCATTTTAAAGGTACAATTTTTCATTGCAGTATTCGAATAGTTGTTCATTAAACATACGAATAGGATAGCTAATGCGTGATATTTTTAATATATCTTTCCCTTTTAAAATAAAAAGAGTAATCGATTTTCGCAAATTATACCGCATGAAGGGGGCGAATCAAAGGCGGAGGGCGATTCCGATCAAAAATCGGATTCGGAACCGGAAATACAAAACGAGAAACAAGGTTAAAGCTCTTCCCCCTTTTTTCTCTCTCTCTTTCCTTAAATTATTTACAAATTTTTATATAATTATTTTATTGATTTTTCTTTTCTATTCTTTTTCCAATTCTCTCAAAGTGGGACTAACTCGAGTCTTTATGAAAACTTAATTCTGAAACCCGAACATGACCTTATATTTTAAATTATTAGAAACGATTTATTATCACCTGATTTCAAAGTTATGCGAATGATTTCGACATAACTTATCACATTTTTTCTTAAAATGAATTAAACTTTCAACCTATACCGGTCCTGACCCTAGTGACCAAGACCTTAACCCTGATGATTTATTAATAATAATTTTTTTTCTAGTACAAGATCAAACTGACGAGGAAGGACAACAGGAACAAACTGAAGATAATTCGATATCACCACCAGCTCAATCTTCTGACGAGAGTGCCGGGAGCCCAAAAAGGATCATTAGAAATACGAATGGGAATAAGAACGAGAATAACGAGGAAAATGAAATTTTCGGAAGCTCCGATGATAGTTATGAAGATGGAGATTGAAATTGTGAAAATTGATTTGGGACGTTTTTGTTAAAATATTTTAATATCATCTGTTTTATTTATATTTAAAAAAAATGTATATACCATGCCCGTTTTATATATGTAAATAAATTATCGAATATTTAATAAATAATAATTATATATCGATTAATAATAATTAAAAAAAAGTTTTTGGGAATGTCATTTTAATGGGACCCGTGATTGTTCATAAGTGTCAATCGTTCAAATATTCTTCTTCTTCTCCCTTTAATGGCGATCTCCAGGTTTACCCAGGTTGGCCAATTTTCCCTCTGATTTAATCATTAGGAAATTTTGTAGCAAGGTTTTTTGCAATACGATGCCCTTCCTGACATCAACCCCTCTAGGTGGTTTTTACATCCCGTCGAAGAGACGGTGATCTTATTCTAGACACAGACCACAGGAAACATTTTAGAGCTCCATTAGGCGCCAAAAGACGTTGTCACTCCTTCGCCAAGATGAGGTTAACGATAGGATTTTGGGAGAGCGTTAGAGGCATTGATTAATATTATTTTATTCGATGAATAGTAGTAATTAGGAGTGTGATCCCATTATCATTCATTTTTAAGTCCGGGGCCAGTCGATATTTTTAGATTCGTCCAATTGACTGAAATTGTAACGTATATTACTAGTGTTGTTAACGTAGGTCGTGTGAGTAACTTTAACAGTTATATTTTGAAAATGTCACTTTGGCCTGTAAATGGTTACACTGATAATTATTTGCAGGCTCAACGCCATTATAGTTTTTTTTAAATTTCCTTGGCCCCACCCACATGCCAAGCTTTTGCAGATCTCTGGTATACATTATTATATAAATGAATTGATTATACACTAAGTTTTTCGCATTGAATTTTTTTAAAATAGAAATATAATAATCTTCTTCTCTCCGTTTAATGGCGATTTCCAGGTTTACCCAGCATGGCCAGTTTTCTCTCTGATTTAATCATTAATAAATTTTGGAGCAAGGTTCTTACAATCGGATGCCCTCCTGACAATGTCTAATATTTTACTTTGAAAAAAATTAACTATCATAAAACCGATATTACTAATAAAAGAAAGTGCATTACTTTTCTATTTCTTCTTACTTTTTAGAAATTTTTATTATGGAATTAACTTTATTCACGAAGAATACACATAAGATTCACCTCGAATTCAAAATTAAAAAAAATGAGAATAGAATTCAATTATTTTCATTATTCCCTATTTGATTCTTCTTTTCGAATCGAATAATTATATTATTTATATTGGTGCGATTGAATTATTTTTTTTATTCATAATTGTAAGGAATAAGAAAAACATTATTCCATTCGATTGAATAAATCGATTAATAGTGTTTTAATAAGAGGGGAAAAAAATATGTAAAAATTTTCCACAAGTAACGTGGTTAAATACTTTAAGAATAATTTCAAAATATTTAAATATAATTTCGAATCATTTTAAATTATTGATGGAATAATAGATAAAATAAATTATACAGATAATATATCTTCTTTATTAGTAATCGAGTCGTAAATTCGAACCGATTATGTTATTCGTATTCGTAAATTACGAATCAAAACGAATATTAAATAACGAATAATTTGTTTATATGTGTAGGTGGAAACTGGAAGACTGGGGAAAAAAATAATTTTATATCTCCTTTTTCAAATAAATTCCAGTTATTTTTGGATTATTATGTTTATTTTTAAAAATCGGCCTCTACTACTCAACATTTGGCCTTTGCTAGCCCAACTTAAAAATAAAAAGAAAACAAAATTTATTAACCATCTCATCAAAATAACATCTGTTTATAATAAATGATTTCATTTTTAAATCGAGAAAGTTAGATGGGTTAGTTTCAGGTATACCAAGGTCTTTGAGAAGAATCTTGCCTAGTCTTTTTTTTTTGCAGTTTTTACGTATACTTTTCCAATATCTAGGTAAATAAAACCATTCGATACTTTTTATAACAAATGTATCTATAACGAAATATTTTCTTTAAGGACACTTCTTTTTTTTGTAACTAGAAATTTGGAAAAAATCTTTCGACAACTCTGTTTAAAATTAAACTGATTGCAATAATAAATTGTATAGACCTTAAATTTTCACGCCTATAATATGCTAAAAAACGAATTTGAAACAAAGGTCATATAAAAAACAATTAACGATTATTAAAAACAATATCGGTTTATACTTACATTGTGCTCTAATGGAACCATGAAACAGCAATGAAATTACTTTGATGAATAGCCATCGTTAGGGTTTGATGGCTTATTCGGCAAAAGCAGTAAACGAAATTTTACCATAGTTCAAATCTAATTTTAGATAAAAGAAGAAATCACCTAACGTCTACCATGGTTTATTCGTTTTTTACGTCATAATTTACACCCGGTAAAATTCTACAAAATATTTGACATTTTATTTTAAATAATAAAATTAGATTTAGTAGTATCATAAAAACATCTGAATTATTGCTACGTAGGTTCCACGTCAATTCGGCGCGGAAAATTCGGCGCAGAAAACTCGGCGCAACGTCAATTCGGCGCGGCGACAATTCGGCTCAACGTCAATTCGGCGCAACGTCAATTCGGCCCAACGTCAATTCGGCGCGTATCTAATACAGTTGCAATTTATTATAAATTTATTAGTATAAAAAAAAGGATGATTAAATAGAAATGATTTTGAATGTTGATCATATTAATTATTTCTTCATATTTTTTTTACAAAATCAATAAAAAAAAAATTAACAACCAATATTTATACCGATTTCCTTGCTGGACCAATTTACCACATTATAAGGTAGGGGAGACCGGGGTTAGTCGAACCGATTTTTATAAAATTGGCTATAGCTCCTGGTTTTTTAGATAATATAAAAAAAAATATGCTATTATTTATGCCAGCTAATGACAAATATCAAGTTTGTGCATAGAACACAAAATATTTTATATTCTAAAAATTATCAGCAAAAGAAACAAAATTGAAAAAATGGCCAACTATTTTTGAAGGCAATGATTTGATATATTTCTAAAAACTTCATGGAAATGATTAATAATTTGTGTAAAAATAAATATTTTTTTAAAATAAAAATTTGATTTTCAATAATAATATCTAAAAGTTGATGAAAATATAGGTGAACTAGATTTATTTAACTTTCTTAATATTGGCTAGCTACTAATCAAAATAGGGGAGACTGGGGTTAGGTAACGGGGCTTGGAAAACCACTTAATCTCATCTTAAAATTAAATACACCAGAAGGTTAAAATTTTATCATAATATAGTTTTTATTAGTTTACGTCTATAGACAAAAAATCTTTTGAAATAATTATTAAAAATTTTATTTAAGAAATAAAATATTGATGAAGTTTTTATAATTTGGGAAAGTTTTATGAGTATTTATTATATCCAGAAATTTATAGTTAGCAGGGCTTGCTAAACCATACACGTCAATTATGGCAGTTAATAATGAAAAAAATACAAAATGTTTATCGAGATAAAGGTTCACGCAAAATCTCCAGGCTTACATAATATTGCCTACTAATCAGGGGCTTGGCAAACCACTTAATCTCTTCTTAAAATTAATTACAACAGAAGGTTAAAATTTTATTATAATATAGTTTTATTAGTTTACGTCTATAGACAAAAAATCTTTTGAAATAATTATTAAAAATTTTATTTAAGAAATAAAATATTGATAAAATTTTCAAAAGATTTTTATATGACAGAAATTTTATTAAAATATATAATCATTTATATGTAAATTAAATTTTATAACAAAGTTTAAATAAACACTCTTCTATAATTTGGGAAAGTTTTATGAGTATTTATTATATCTAGAAATTTAGAGCTAGCAGGGCTTGCTAAACCATACACGTCAATTATGGCAGTTAATAAAAAAAATTACAAAATCTTGAAAAGGCAATTTCACGGCTGTTTATGATTGGTATTTAGGATTTATGCTAAGAAATCATAATATCTCCTTTATGTCCAAAATGTTTATTAAGTTAACCTAAATTAAGTTTCAATTTTTATATATAATTTGCTTCAATTTATAAGTATTATGATATTTTTAACAATAAAACAATAAAATTATTCTATACGTATCATTATTAATAAATAAAAATGCATTTCAATTTATTATGACTAAAAAAACTAATGATTTAGGAAGCCCCTTGAATTTGCCTCACCCCGCTATTGGGGCTGGATATTATTTTTACTTTTTCAAAAAGTAAAATTTAAAAAAAAACGATTATATTCTTAAAATTTTTATAAGGTACCTTTATAGAGTATAGTTTTAGGTATCTAATCATATATTATTTTTTATATTATCTAAAAAAATCAGGATCTAAATTTTGTAAAAATCGGTCCGACTAACCCCAGTCTCCCCTATCTTATAATGTGGTAAATTGGTCCAGCAAGGAAATCGGTATAAATATTGGTTGTTAATTTTTTTTATTGATATTACACATTTAGTAAATATAATTGAGATTTTTGTAAAAAAAATACGAAGAAATAATTAATATGACCAACATTCAAAATCATTTCTATTTAATCATCCTTTTTTTATACTAATAAATTTATAATAAATTGCAACTGTATTAGATACGCGCCGAATTGACGCCGAGTCGAGTTTTCTGCGCCGAATTGTCGTGCGCCTAATTTTCCGCGCCGAATTGACGTGATACCTGCTACGTATTATATAATGATTAGCAGAGTTGTTAAAAGATACTTTTTAAATGGATCTAGATACAGATACCACATTTTTATATCTAGATACTTGTATCTAAATTCTTTAACAACTCTGATGATTAGTGTTGTTAAAACCGCTTGATTTGAGCCTATTTTTTAAAAAAAATCAATTAACTCAATATTTTAGCCAAAAAATAAATATTACCTAAGCCATTATCGCCCGATAGATGTTCAAACCTTTGTGCCAACTATGAGCAAAATCTTCAGGGTTTGCCTGATATTATCCTGGATATATTGAGTTAGTCGTTTAAAAATCAGTTAAAATCTAGCCGTTTAACAACACTAATAAATGATGTATAACATACATAATACAATATATGAATATTAGAGAGCAGAGTTGTTAAAGGATCTAGATATAAAAATGTGGTATCTGTATCTGTATCTAGATAGATTTTTGATTAAAATGTGTGTATCTAGATATTATTTTAGACGATGTATCTGTATCTAGATCCATTTAAAAAGTATCTTTTAACAACTCTGTTAGAGAGATAGATAAATATTTTGAGTTTGAGATACATTTTCATTCATAAAAAGAGTTACTCCTCACTGGACTAGACCTAATTTCAAACATCTTCTACGGCGTAACTCCGGGTAGATTCGGGTCTTAATAAATTTTATTTAGTTAAGATAAGGCAACATGAGCGCATCCTGGATTTTCCTAAAGACCTAGAATATTTTGGTCCAACTAGCCCCGGTAAAATAATAAAAAAAAATCCAACAAAAATTTTTTTTTTAAATAAAATTTTTTATCATACGAAATTTTTTAAATAATCTAATAATTAAATCGATAAGACAGAAGTTACCGCATATTAAATACATATACATAATAGTTATCATAATACTCATATATAGAAAACAATAATATACATTTTTTTGTATTCTATAAAAAGAGCCATTACATAAGGTTTGTTTTTTTTCACTTATATTTTTATAATCGCTAATTGTTTTTTATATGACCTTTGTTTTAAACATGTTTTTTTTTATTAATAAACTCAAATGAACAATGAAAATTTATGTATTTTATTTTGTAAAAAAGTATTCATTTCTTTATCCGCCATATTTCTTATTCTCGACGTCATATTTCTCATTCTCGACGCCATATTTCTTATTTTATTAAAATGATACCTTATAAAAAAAAAATTATTTTTAAAGAAAATTCTAAAAACTAATATTTTCAATTTATTTATAAAAAATTTTAAAATAGGACATTTTTCAAAAATATTATATTTTTTTTAAAAAAAATTAATAATTAAATAAAAGATAAGACGCCCTCTCGCGGGCTAAATATTATAATATCTTTATTAAAAATTTATAATATTTATTTTTTTTAAAATATAAAATGTCGCGGAAAATTGAATAATATGAGATAGTGGGGATTAATTCCATGTTGGCCATTATTTTAATTACAGAAATTCTCTTGTCTATATTACACGAAAAAGAATTGGCAGCTTAATGAAATAGTTTATGCTTACAAATTCATTATCTATATAACAAAATGTTTTTTTTTGAATCTCAGATTGTAAAACCCCCCGTATAGTGGGCACAAATTGAGCGTTTCAAACGCTGCGTTTCAAAACGCAACCAATGCATTTGGACAGCATTTTTTGATTTGTTTTAAATTTAGAACGTTTCTTATTAAAGTAAAAAAATATAAAATTATAACAATTCATATTAAAACATAGGTGAGTTTGCGTTCTTTTTATTTGCGTTTTTGATGAGGCCTTGAACAATTTGTGTTTCCTTTCCTTTCCTTTCCTTTCTTTCTTTCTTTCTTTCTTTCTTTCTTTCTTTCTTTCTTTCTTTCTTTCTTTCTTTCTTTCTTTCTTTCTTTCTTTCTTTCTTTCTTTCTTTCTTTCTTTCTTTCTTTCTTTCTTTCTTTCTTTCTTTCTTTCTTTCTTTCTTTCTTTCTTTAAGAGATGAGAAGAAAGAAAACTGATGTTAAATTTTATAACGGTTTAAAAATTGACATTTTTTATAGCTGATTCGATATGGAATTTCAAAAATTAAGTATTCAATGCCAAAACCAAAAAAAATCAAACTGATAATTTTTTTAAAAAAAGAAATTTTTAAATAGATATTTTTCACCAAGTCTCATTCAATACCTGCAATCGCAAATATTTTTTTAAGTTTATGCAAATTTTTTTTAACAAAGTTCCATATTACACTAGGAAAACATAAAAAATACATTTTCTGCAGACTCAGTTAATTCAAATTATATATAAAAATATTGCTTTGAATTAATCATTTTTTAGTTGTTACAAATATTTTGTTTGAGTTCGTTTTTTTAAATTTAAGAAAATATATATATTTCGGTATCGGTATATATGTAATATACATATCCTTATAAATTTCAAAAGAGTTGTCAACTTTTGATATAGCATGATTAAGGTATACCTTAGTAGGTTCTGCGATTTTTTGTCTGTAAACCTTGGGAGAACAAATAAAAATTTTATTGATAAGTTTATCAAATATTTACTATAATATAAAAATAATAATATAGATAATAATATCTAAGGAAAATATTGCTATATATATATATATAATAATTAATATTTCATTTCCACATAAAATGTTATTTCAAAACGCTTTGTTCATTGCATATCTTAGCCACATCGGATGCGCTAGCTTCTATCCATATTTCGTTGCGTCTATCCAAAAATTTGGTGATGCTTTAAAAAAAAGGAAAATTTTTTTTTTATCGGAAACATTTAAAATTTAGATGAATATATATATACGTTTTTATTATTTGTATAAAATCCTGCAATTAGCTTATTATGCCAATAATTTTGCATTTATTACTTTAGATAACCACACATATCATATTCTTGCCTTCTTCTTTTCATGTTAGATCTCTTTCAATTATTATTTATGACAAACCAAGATAAGAAATAAAAATTATTATTTTTTTATATTTATAAAATCTTTTAATCGTGTTTAAAGTAAGTAAACCTAAACATTTTCAAAAAGGATTATAAAATTATTTAGAGCCAGCATTATTTAACCTTTTGACTTCAATTTACGATATCCAAAGAAATTGATATGAATGTATTTCAATAGATAGAAAAATTTTGCTATATTACAGGTCCTTAAAATATATAATAAATGTTGATAAGAGATGGAGATATTATTAAATCTTTATAAAATATTGAACAACAATAATTGCACTGACATATTTAATTCGAAAACAAAAAATATAGCACTTGGTAAATTAGACATATAATAAAAAAAAATTCCTTTAGCGTTATTCTCGAAAATGAAAGCCAAAAATTTTACTAAATAAAATCTAAAAGTATAAGATATGTTATGCTAATTAATATATTATTACTATCGAATTTATTTATCGGTTATTTGGCATATCGATTTTATATAAAATATAAATTGTATTGATATCGAATACCAAGTGGTAATGTTGTCAACTCTATGGCACATCGATTACGGGAGAAGGGGGGGGGGAGTTATAGATATAGATCTCTAACACTGGATATTTTCCTAAGCCCAATTTTTTGTGAAAATCACTTTTCGTGGAATAAATTTTTTAATATATTTTATATTTAAAAAAATTTATATTTTACCAGTTAGTTCGTTGGATTATTAAAATTAAAAGTAAGTCACTAAGACCAAAGGAAAAAAAAAACAAAATCACAAAGTAAAACAGTTATAATAGATGCAAGTTGGAATGCAATGTCAATATTAAGGCATGAAAATCGACAGTTTAAATTTTTACAAAATTTTGGAAGATATCATGATAAATGTGCTTATAAAAATGGAATATTTTTCTATCTTCTGTATCTTGTATTATTTTAATTTTAATTATGATAATCATTTTTTAATGGCTAATGTTAAATATATTAAATTTTTTTTAAAAAAACCTGATGTTTCTGCGTATTTTTACAAGTTATTATAGGTTAATGATGCTTACTACCTTAAGGTACTATCAATCAAATTTGAATTTTGTTCATTTTTCATTTGGATAGGCACTACCAAATATATTTATAATATATATTTTAAAAATCGTGATTTTTGGAAAGCTTCTTTAGCCTAGTTAGCAAGAGCTTGGCTTACTTATCCCATGGACCCGGGTTCAAATCCTGGGAATGGTCATGTTTTTTTTCTTAATCTAACTTGGTGGCTCCATCCTTGGGGGGGGGATAATATATAGGAGGCCGGACTCGACCACGTGATTACGTATTAATATATTAAATATAAGGGTCGTATTACATTTTAATAGATTTTGGTCGTTATTTAGCAAAATTAGGTTGGTATTTAGAATATTTTCATACATTCACTTGGTAGTAAGCATCATTAACCGTTATAATAAGTGTTTATTTTTTTTTTGGAGAGGCGAATCCTGAAACCTACCTTAACCCGAACTGGCTTTAGAGATATTTCACTGAATCAGAGCCCATACCCTATACCCTTCTATTTAGAAGGAGAGTTTAGAGCCCTTATTTAAAGTCAGGCTACTTCAAAATTTATAATTCAATAATAAACCTTGATTGAAAGGACCATGGCGCTAAAAAAAAATATTCCCATGTTTTTAGCTTTAAAAAAACCCAGTATATGATACCTAATTTCTGAAAAGAAATCTGACCACTCATACCCACCTCTAAAACGCCTACATAGCCCGGTGTTTCCCTGTTGGATATTATATGAGAGTATATTAAGAAAGAAAGAAAGAAAGAAAGAAAGAAAGAAAGAAAGAAAGAAAGAAAGAAAGAAAGAAAGAAAGAAAGAAAGAAAGACACAAGATGAAATGAATATATGCAAATCCCAGATATGAAAGTTATATTATATAGCATGTGCTAAAAAATGGATTAAGAGTTAAGGATGGGTCATTAATTAGTTCAAGTTTTTTTAAAAAATGGTCGTAAATAGTTGAAGTTTTTAAAATAGAAGAATAATTTTGATAGTTTATAATATATATCAGAGATTTGCAGGCCCGGGCCTAAACCCGGCCGTATTTTTTTAAAATTTTTTAAACATATCCAGGCCGGGCCGGGCTTGAAATTTTTTTTAAAAATCTATCCGGCCGGGCCTAAGATTGTTAAACCCGGGCCGGGCCTTAATAATTTTTATAAAATTTTTTACATTATGAGTTAATGGTTATAAGATTATATTATATTATAGTTATGATTAATATAATATTGGGTGATGGTTAACACTACCTTACAACCCACAGATCGATCTAATTATTAATTTCCTGCAAATTTATTCAAAGTATTAATATATTTTTTTATAATTCATACCTAAATTTTTTACAACATATTTTACCAAAACAATCAAATAAAGGAATATCTTAAATAAGCCCCAATATTCAAGTATTATTAATATATTTTTTTATAATTCATATCTAAATTTTTAGAATATATTTTACCAAAACAATCAAATAAAGGAATATCACTTCTTGAGGTTTGTAATACCTTTCAAAGCGAAAAAGGAGAAATAAAATTGATTTTACTTAATATAAAGCATTTTTTAATTGAAAAATTTGTTTTACACAAGTATCATTTTATTTCTCTTTTTCTATGTCCCAAATTCAAGACGTATATAGTCAGGGACAGATCGCAAGATGATGGAAAACTATATAAAAGATTATATTAAATTACAAGAGGCTCAGGAAGTAAATAAAATACCATCGACCAGTCAAATTACGACTGTTGTTAAACAAACTGAATCGTTGCGATGGTAATTCTGGTAATATGTCAATACCCGATGATGAATATTATAATTACATAAATAAAAAAATAGATGAAACATTTAAGGTGGATAATTTGTTAGAGTGGTGGGCGGCTCATCAAAGCGAATTTCCAAATTTAGCAAAATTTGGCAAAACGGGTATTGGCAATTCCTGCTTCAAGTGCAAGCTGTGAGCGGAATTTTTCCACTACTAGGAGAATTCTTGAAGAAAGAAGAAGTAATCTTCAACCTGAAAAGGTCGATATTCTTCTCTTTCTTCATGATAATTTGTGAATTTTTAATATCTTTCTTGAGTATAGGGTTTCGTCAATCATGCTGGTTTTTTACTTTGCAAACTGTCAAATATTTATTGCATTTATTATATTTACCTTGAGTCATGAAAGTTTTTAATCCAACATTTTTCATTTTTTTTTTTACAATATTATATAATACAATTATCTTCTTTTGTTAAAATTTTATATTATAAAATAAATTATATTAATATTGTGCAATTAGATTATATTTTCATACTATTTATTATACATGCATTTTTTTAAATAGCTATTTATTTTTATTTTATAAATTAAATAGTAAATTAAATATAATATATTATATTTTCAAAATATTTTCCATTTTTATAAATTAAATATTAGTTTTATTTTTTTTAAATGCAATATAAAATATGCTTAAAATATTATTACCATTTTTATGAATATTAGTTTTATTTTTATAAATGCAATATAAAATATAGTATATGCTCAAAATATCCATTTTTATAAATAACATATTTATAATTTTTATAAATTCAATATAATATTCTCAAAATATTAGCTTTTTACATGTATTTTTTAAATAATAAGCGATAATATTCGCTAAAAAATATGGTAAAATACCTCATAGGTGAATTTTTGTATATACAGGTCGAATATAATTTTAAAAACGGGCCTGAAATTTTTTTTTTAAAAATATCCGGGCCGGGCCTAAAAAATTTAAAACCGGGCCGGATAGTGCAAATGGTACCTCTGCAGGTCTCTGATATATATATATGCGTAAAATTAATAAAAAATATTTTCGAATGTTATTATATGTATAAATGTGGATTTATATATCGTGTAAAGGATAATAATGGAGGGAGTCATTAGGTAATATTAGAATATTTTTGATTTTTTTTTTAAATTTTGGAGGTTTATATATAAAGGAAAAAAATTGGCCATTTGGTATTATTTTAGATCCAAGGAAAGGGGGGAAAGTAGTAGTTCATTCATATAATAAAAGGAATTGGTTTAATATTTGAAATTTAGGATTATGATTGATAGGGGAAGAAGTGATTCTGGGATAATGCTAAAAAGGAACGAATAATGAATACATTTTGGAGATAAAATTTAAAAAACTATATTTAACTGACTTATTCTTTGTAATATTCTGTATAATCAACTACAATGATTCTGTCCTACCAATTACAGTGATGCTATAGATATATCAAACTCTTCCTTTCTTTCTTTCTTTCTTTCTTTCTTTCTTTCTTTCTTTCTTTCTTTCTTCTAATCAACAGCACAGTAACAACTATTACGTATGGTCAAGAGAAAATATGGAACTTACTGGAACAGAAGTAAGAAACTTTAATGAAAATAAATGATAATAATAATTGTCGATTATTTATTAGAATTGATGTAGACATTCAACTTAGATCATATTTATATATACTTAAGTTCTATTCTTTACCCCAGTTTCCAAAGGGCGTGAGGAGGGGGGGGGGTGTTATATCTATCGATTTGTAATGGACAGACATGAACCTTTTTTCAATATATTTCCTGGAAGATTATTATATTACAATCAATTGTCTTTGTTTAAAAAATTGAATTGTGTGATTTTTATTGAATAAAAAATATTGTTATGATATACATATGAAATTGGTTGCATGTATCTGTCGATTTTTTAATTGACAGATATGGACGTTTTTCAATATATTTTCGAGAAGATATTGATATTACAATGATTTTATTTGTTTAAAAATTGAATAATGTGATGTTTAATAATTGAAAATTTATATGAATTTAAAAAATGATAGAAATTGAAAAGAATTTATATTGATTAAAATGAAAAGAATGTAATATAAAAAATCATATGTTAAAATGGAAATAATCTGAGACATGAAATTTAGATATAGCATATTTTGTAAGGTTGAAGTTAAGCATAAACAAAGGATGAATGAAAGTTAAAAAGAAGTCGAAGTCATGGGTTAAAAAAAATTTTGAATATATATAAATGTGTATATATGGTACTATTTCATATGGTCTAACATTTTATATATGTTAATACTTCCTTCCTATAGTTGAAATAATTAAATATTTTTTATTTAGTAATTTTATATATTTTTATTATACTGGTTTAATATTTTAGTGTTTTATCATAAATAATACAAATACAAATAAACCTTATAATAAAATATAATAAATTTTTTAAAAAAAAATAATATATATATATATACATTTTAAAAAAAAGTAAAAGTTTGAATTTTGTGAAAAAATATAAAGAAAATTTGGTTCCATTTAAAAAATGAAAGAAAGGGGAGATGATTTTCAATAAAGTTTGATAAGTTATTTTACAATTAATAGTTAAATTTTGAGAAAATTAAAAGATAATACGAGTTTTATCAGGTTTTCAATTGTGTTAATTGAGCAAATTAAAACAAGCAGAGTTGTTAAAGTATCTAGATCCTGTATCTAGATATAAAAATGTGGTATCTGTATCTAGATAGATTTTTGAATAAAATATCGGTATCTAGATATTATTTTAGACGATGTATCTGTATCTAGATCCATTTAAAAAGTATCTTTTAACAACTCTGAAAACAATTAATAAAAATTAAAGGTTTATTTTAAAATTTGTGAATGGACAAAACCATTATATATTACTGTGATATAAGTTTACGTTTGAATTTTTTTTTAGGGACCATAGGTTTTATAATAGTATACTTTCGAAAAAAATTTTTGCGACCATTGGAGGCTGAGGTAATAATAATAGTACCTAATTATTCTATAAAACAATTCTTTACACTAATTTTACTATCCCTTTAGCTCTTACATATTGTAAAAGGCTATTTTATCATTTAAAAATAAAATGAAATTTTGTCCGTTAGGTGTCGTTATAATTTATAAAAAAATGTGTAAAAACAATTCTTTACAAATTCTACTATCTCTTTAACTCTTACAATATTGTAATAAGGCTATTTTATCATTTAAAAATAAAATGAAATTGGCCGTTAGGTGGCGTTATAGATTATAAAAAAATGTTTTGTTGTATTTTTTTATATAACATATGTTTATAAGAAATTTCGCACCAGTTATTTGTTCCGTTTTATTTTTTGTCTACCCCCGATCCGTTATATATTATTTTTAAATTTGCCCGATTGGGGAAAGAAAGAAAGAAAAGAAAGAAAGAAAGAAAAAAAAAGAAAGAAAGAAAAGAAAGAAAAGAAAGAAAGAAAGAAAGAAAGAAAGAAAGAAAGAAAGAAAGAAAGAAAGAAAGAAAGAAAGAAAGAAAGAAAGAAAGAAAGAAAGAAAGAAAGAAAGAAAGAAAGAAAGAAAGAAAGAAAGAAAGAAAAGGAAGGAAGGAAGGAAGGAAGGAAGGAAGGAAGGAAGGAAGGAAGGAAGGAAGGAAGGAAGGAAGGAAGGAAGGAAGGAAGGAAGGAAGGAAGGAAGGAAGGAAGGAAGGAAGGAAGGAAGGAAGGAAGGAAGATTTGCCACTTTAAAATGTCTAATATAAAAAGCTGTGTTGTATATATTTTGATCACTGTAAAACTAAAGAATTTCAAAATTTCTTTAAAGTTATTTATTTATAAAAAAATTCCATAAAATTATATCCTTACTTATCATAGCTAGCTACGTAAAATTCCGAAGGAATATCTTTCGCGCCCATTAACATTAAAGCCGTTTTTAGAATTTGATATTTGTTGTTATAATACAGGGCCCATACATACCCCGGATAGAAATACGAAAAATAAGATTTGTTCCCTTCTTTGAGTATATTGACCTAAAACAATTAATATATATAATAAGTTAAATATAATAAAGTAAGCATACGTCAGAGTAACGAGAAATATTTATTTAGACAACTTTATGAATCGTTTTAATATTAAGATCATATTATTATCCCTTAAATTTTTTCTAACAAGTGAAAGATAGTGTCGTTAAAACGGCTCGTTTTGAGCCGATCTAACTCAATATTTAAGCCAGAAAAATACATAAGCCTCGTGATTTCGTTAATAGATGTCTGGACCTTTGTGCCATCCACTAGAAAAATCTTCAGGCTTAGATAATAATATTTTAACTCGAGAAAATATTGAAAGCTGTTTTTAAAAAATCGGCTCAGATAAGGCCATTTAGCAGAGTTGTTAAAGGATCTAGATACATAAAAATGTGGTATCTGTATGTGTATCTAGATAGATTTTTGATTAAAATATCTGTATCTAGATATTATTTTAGACAATGTATCTGTATCTAGATCCATTTAAAAAGTATCTTTTAACAACTCTGCCATTTAGCAACACTAATTGTGAGGTGGAGTGCCAAAAAACGTGAGTTAGTAGATGTGGTATATATAGATAACCCCCAGTTTAAAACGGTTATATTATATGAATTATAAAATTAATCTAAAAAATATTTAAAGATTTATAAAAAAATTTATAAGAATATTTGCTATTTCTTTCTTTCTTTCTTTCTTTCTTTCTTTTCTTTCTTTCTTTCTTTCTTTCTTTCTTTCTTTCTTTCTTTCTTTCTTTCTTTCTTTCTTTCTTTCTTTCTTTCTTTCTTTCTTTCAAAAATAAATATTATTTCATCACAAGGTTAAATAAAATCTATTTAAAGACGCAATAATCTTAAATTTATATTTAATTAACATTTTTAAAAATATGAATTTTGTATAAACATTTCAAAAGAATATATTTTTTTTGCCTTCTTCTATGTATAAGAGTTAAAATGTATGTTATACTGTTGCTTGCAAAACGTTTAAAATTAAAAAATAAATAAAATCATTAAACTCAATAGGAAACTACTGGAAAAAAACAAGATAAATTATTTAACGATTTTATTAATCCCTGAGTTTGTGCAAGTGTGCCCCACGAAAATTTCTAGATGATAAAGTATATGTATGAGAAAAAGTAATCAAAGGAGGCATTATATAATACATCGCGGTTGTTTGGGAGGGGTAGATCGTCTACGTATTTCTTTGGTATATAGTATAGCACCCTGTAAGTTTTATCGCTGAACCATTTATTGACGACACGGAAATATGTGGCAAAATTAGGTTTCACCCCCAATTCCTTGATCAAAACTGGCGCACTCATAGTTATCTTAAGATCTAATCAATCAATCAAAAAAATGAAATATATCAATAATAAAAAATAAAAAATTATACCTCTCTGTAGCTCATATATATTTATTAAATGATATACAACATAGACCACTTATCAATCCAATTAGAATGAGACAAAAAAAAACCTTAATCTTTCTTTCTTTCTTTCTTTCCTTCCTTTTTTCAATGGCTAATAAAAATGTACAGATGTTTTTTTTTATATATTAAAGTATTATATATCAGAACAATGCACCAAAAATATGATCGATCTAATACACTATAAAAAAAAAAATCAATATATGAATAAACTTTGGCTATTTTGCCCCGAAAAATATGCCCCAACATTTTTGGACGCGATATTGATAGCTTTAAGCTTGTTCTTAGCCGTCACATCGCTATAGGCCCAAACCGTAGGCCCATATGTCCTGACTTCAATTTTATCTCTTGTGCATATCATTTTGAAAGGAGGGCATTCAGTATCTCCACAAAATAGGGGTCTCTCTACCTCGTGAGATCTTTTAATCACATTGTTTATTTTTTAAAGTCATATAGGTAATAGATGTATACTTTGGAGCTAAAATTTTTTTAAAAAAAATACAATTATTTTTGAGTTTATTCAACGTAGCTTGAAATTCTTGTTTAAAGAAGAAGCACTGGGGGGGGGGGCGGTGCATATTTATCTTAAATAAAAAATGCAAACTTCGACCATATTTGTTAACATTTTCTCATTTTTTCATTCTTAAGGGATTCGTAAACAACTACTTTGGAATATAAATAAGATTTAAAAATATAAAGAACTTAATTGGCTATTACTCTAAAACATAATCTATGTAATAATCTTATTTTCACAAAAAGGGCATAAAAAATACCCCCCCCCCCTAAAAAAAAAATTTGGGAAAGAAATTTCTATGAGGAAGCCAGCAGTTAATTAACTTTGGTATTCCAACCGAAAACATATAGAGGTCGGAACATCCTGGCACAAACCACCCCAGCGATTGCAATGGTAATTGAGACAAGATATCAATTTCGCCTGGTTCTAATGTCCACAGTCAGAAAATGGCTGGATAGAGAACCTACCTCCAAAACATTTAACTGTTTTTTAAATTGCGATACCAAAAAAATATAATATTTATATCAGCCAAATTCAATTCAAATTCAATTTAATAAGCAACTTATTTGTGTGTTTGTAAAAAATAATAAAAAAAATATATATAAACGTAAAGTTTGATCTTGCTTGCACATTGGTTATACCGCCAAAATCTTCCTCCCTATAAATGATAATTTGTCCACTGATTAAGATAAAGAAAATGTTCGATAATATCACAAAGATATGGCTAGGATTTGCCATAAATTGGGGAATAAATATTTTTAAAATTAAATTAAATTTAAAAAGAAGTTAATTATTAGATTAATTATTGACGAATTTTTAAAAATCAATTAAATATAAAAAAATAATATATTTATTTTTTTTTTGCCAATATTTCAAAAAAAAAAGTTATATTTTTATGCCCTTGATACTCAAAATTCTTCAATTTAATTATTATGAAATGATTAATTATAAAAAGGTTTATAAAGGTATTTATAATCGTTTTAAATAATTATCTCGTTGTTGCTCTTACATTTTTTTAGGGACCCAAAACACATAGTTAGAGATGCCCCTTGATTAGTGTCTATCTAGACCTTTGTTCCTCCTATCAGCAAAATCTTCAGGCTTGGGTAATATTTTTCTGGATGAAGTATTGAGTTAGCCGTTCTTAAAAATCGGCTCAAAACGAGCCGTTTAACAACACACCCTTGACATCGATGCCGAAATGAATGTATTTTTTAGTATTCCCAAGGTATCAAAAAATGTATTTAACTGATAAAGAAGAAATGCTTCTCCTAGAATTCATCATAGCTGTAAAAACCTTATTTATAAAAGAGATTTATGAATATAAATTTAATTAAATATTTACAACATTTCCATAAATTAAAGTTATAATTTCCTAAAGTAATTGTTGGAATGACACAATAACTCTTTTTGAAAAGTGGTATAGGCTAAATACCATTTTTTAAACCATCTTCATATCAACAATTTTAAAATGGAATAAAGGGAAGCGTTCTCAAAGGGTATTTTTATCTTTAATTACTCGATTGCTTGACATTGCTTATGCTAGGGGTGTAAAGTGCTTAAAACCTTCATACCAGGTGTTGTTCGAATCTAGTCATTCCATTTCAAAATATTTGAAAAAAGTCAGGAATTGCTGATTCCCATATTTTTAAAAATAAAGAATGGGAAAAAGCTCTAACAAAAATAATTTGGTTTTGGGTTAATTTTTAATTAATTGATATACAGCTTGGAATGTAATTTTGTTACTTAGAGGAAGTAAAAAAAAAATTAAACTTCCCAAGTAAAATAACAAAAATCTGGAAAATTATTTATTACACTGTTTTATTTTAGATTTATTAACCTTCGTTCTTATATTTTTGCAGTTTTGTTGAGCTTTTTGCTAAATATTAATTTTTAAATTTTTTTTTGGTGGATATTTCGAGCGTTAACAATTATTAAAAAATTTATCGTCTGCTTTGCGTAATAATTCCGAAATAATTTCCATAATTAAAAAGGTAAAATGTATTATGTATAATATATTATTTTTTAAAATAACCCTGTTACTGTTAATATAATTTACTTTATATTTTTATTTTAGGTATAGCCATTTTTTTTAAAATTAAATAAAATGAGTGTGATATTCTTAAATCTAAATAATATATTTATTTTCTTCTCTCTAATTCTGCTTAGAGGATGTCATGTAGACTGATAAATAGAATTTCTGTCTGAAAAAAATAGGAACCAGTGACACCTATCTAATAATTTTTAAAATAAATACTATTAAAATTTTATATTATATATAAACTTTGATCGAAAACTAATTTTTAACTTGAGACATGGTAACTGATCAATATTTATTCATCTTCCTCATTCCATAATGTAGTTTACATTTTTCAACGGAGACAGAATTATCTTCTGCAACCAACCTCCTGAATCTCTTCAAATTCAGTTCCCCTTCTTGCTAGGTAGAATTAATCTCTAATTTTTTCGTAAAATATTTAAGCCTAATGGGTAAGATGTAGGCTTGGAAACACGAGTATGAACAAGGACGCGGGTTCAATCCTGGTAAGAACCATAAAAACTTTCAAGTTTTTCTTCGATGACTGATGTGTAAAGACATATGGTATGATGAATTTCGGAGCTTAGAGATGACACCCCGGTCACCGACAGGCCTGGACAGCCGGGTGCTAAGGATACCTGTCCAATAAACAAATGAAGGACACAAATGAAAATATGAATATGAAAGCTAGGGCGTTCCCTCCATGCGACGCGCAGGGTGTAGACCTCCATCCTGTGAAAAATAAAGTAAAGGTCAAAGCAAAGAAGACAAGACTGGCAAGTTTGAATATTGGGACGCTTAAAGGTAAGACGAGAGAATTGGCATCAATGTTGAACAAGAGAAAAGTTGATATAGCGTGTATACAAGAGACGAAATGGAAAGGACAGAAAACTTTGATGATTGGAGATGGGTATAAATTGTACTATAATGGACTTGTTAGCAATAGGAACGGTGTCGGCATCATCCTCAGCCAAGACCTAACCTCTTCAGTAGTAGAAGTCAACAGGATCTCTGATAGACTAATGAAGATAAAACTCTGCATTGGTCAATCAATACTACACATCCTATCAGTATATGCTCCTCAAACGGGTTGCAAGGAAGAAGAGAAAGATGACTTTAGAGCTATCCTTGATGAAGCTGTAATGGAAATCCCTAAGGATGACCTAGTCATAATTGGTGGTGACTTAAATGCGCATGTGGGGAAAGCAAGAGATAGCTACAAAAGGCATCATGGTGGTTTTGGATACGGAGAAAGAAATGATGAAGGAGAGCACGTACTGAAATTTGCGCAAGCCTTCGACCTTGCCTTAACCAACACCTACTATAGGAAAAAAGACAGTCATTTAATAACATATGAAAGTGGTACTAGGAAAACACAGATAGATTACATGCTAATCTCTCGCAGAAGATTAAAAGATGTAATAGACTGCAAAGTCATCCCAGGAGAAGATATCGCCGCACAACACAAGCTACTAATCATGGATTTACAAATCTCAAATAAATCCACTCAAAATAAGATAAAACTGGAACCATGCATCAAATGGGGCAAATTAAAAACAATGACAGATGCCTTTGCAATCAATGCAAACATTGAAACAATAAATTGCTCACAAGTCAGTGAAAAAATCTGGACAGACCTTTCATCCAGATTAATAGACACTGCAAAATCGACGCTAGGCTTGACAAGAGGAGGCAACAAATCACACAAAGAACTATGGTGGTGGAATCAAGAGGTACAAACCACTATACAGGAGAAAAAAGCCCTTTATAAAATATGGTACAAATCCAAAAATGCAGATGACAAGTCAAGATACAAAAAATCCAAGAGATTAGCTACAAAGGCGGTGGCTAGGGCCAAATCTATGGCATACGATGACATGTACGAAGATCTACATACCAAAGAAGGGCAAAATAAAATATACAGATTAGCCAAACAGCGAGAAAAGAACTCTAGGGATATAAACGGAGCTCCGAAAGTAATCAAAAATAAAGATGGGAAATTGATAATAAAGGAAAAAGAAATAATGAATAGATGGAAAGAATATTTTCAGGAGCTTCTCAACTTTAATTCCCACATATTGCATCTCGATGAACACTCCCCTTGTCAAAACCTTGTACAACCTATAACGGAACAAGAAATAATCACATGCCTCAAGCATATGAAAAACAACAAAGCTAGGGGTCCAGACGATATTCCAATAGAAAGCCTTAAAGCACTAGGAGATGATGGAATACATCTCCTCACAAATCTGTACAATAAAATACTTGGAAATGAAGAGGTTCCCCAAAAATGGAGGAAGAGCTATCTAGTTCCTATCTTCAAAAATAAAGGGGATCCACACAATTGTCAAAATTACAGGGGCATAAAACTAATGTCACACTGTCTAAAACTATACGAAAAAATAATAGAAAAAAGATTAAGAGATATAATCGAAATAGGAGAGACACAGTTTGGCTTTATGCCTGGAAGATCAACAACCGATGCTATCCATGCAATTAGGCAAATGAGTGAAAAATACAGAGAAAAGAACAAAAAGCTACACATGGTCTTTCTCGATCTAGAAAAGGCCTTCGATAGAATCCCAAGAAAACTTATCTGGTGGGCGCTACGCCACAAAAAAGTTCCCGAAAAATATATAAGAATAATACAGGATATGTATATGGGACATACAACAATGGTCCGTAGCACAACAGGTACTTCAGCAGGCTTCACAATAGCCGAAGGAGTTCATCAAGGGTCGGCTCTCAGCCCACTTCTCTTCATTACAGTAATAGATGTATTAGCACAGTCTATACCTCAAACAGTCCCGTGGAATATGATATTTGCAGATGATATTGTGATACTTGCCGAATCCAAGGATGAAATG